GCTGTGATCGTTCCTCTGCCTCCCGGCAGCTTTGGGGGCATAAAGGCAATAACCGCGTGCGAAGGGCGGAGATGCCCCGGTGAGGGGCCCCACATCGGTTATAATGAACTAATCACCTTCCGCTGCATTAATGCGATAAACATCCCAGTTTTCTGAAAGGGCCAGAGGCTCCCTGGTGTAAATCAGGAGTAACTTGAGTCTCGAGAAATCGCTTGTGGTGACTTTACACTAGCGGAGGATTTGGCCCCAGGAGCTATTCACTCCATCTGCTGTGTCTGATGCAAACCGCAATGCGCTTGTCCCCTTTACACCGACACAGAGACGGGCCCTAGGAGACCAAGCTGCCGGGGGAGAGGCGCGACTCAGAACAGGACTCACTCCGCATTGGAGTTCACAGACGAAGTGAGGGATCTGTGCACCCAGCGGGGCTCTGGGCAGGAAGGGGAGACACATTCCCCGGGAACGGAAGGGTTAAACTGGCGGGAGGTTTGTGTCCCGTTCCCCCGGGTGCCGGGTCTCCTGCCCGAGCCCGAAGCGGGGGGTGTCGCTGCTGCCCCCGCGCGGCCGCCGGGAGAAGGGCGATTCCGCAGCCTGGGTTTTTGTGCGATCACAAACCGGTTTGGTGTCACTGTGTCTCTCGCACAGTAATAGCGGGCGGTGTCCTCGGGCTTCAGGCCGGTCATTTGCAGATACAGCTCACTCTTGGCGTCATCCCTGGAGACGGTGAATCGCCCTTTTACCGAGTCACTGTAGTATATGCTAGAGCTGTAAATGTAGGCGACCCACTCCAGCCCCTTCCCGGGAGCCTGGCGGACCCAGTTCATCCCGTAGCTGCTGAAGGTGAACCCGGAGGCTTTGCAGGAGAGGCGGAGAGAGTCTCCGGGCTTCTTCACACCCCCTCCGGACTCCACCAGCGTCTGGGACCGGACACCTGGGAATAAAGACAGGCCATTAATGTCGGTATAAAAACAGCGGTAACACAATATTCTCCTAACTCTGCCAGGTCTTCAGAGGAGGAAAATACCTTCCAGAGCTGCTACAGCGACAATGACAAGGAGCAAAAATCCCATTTTCCCGGGTGCGGGAGGGGAAAGTTCTCAGGGGACTGGCTGGTGACTGCACCGACCCAGGGGGCTGCGGATTGTGTCTCCGGGTGCAGCCTGGGCAAAGGGAGGCTCAGATTTAAACAGGAAACTGTCCCCCTGATTTGCATACCCCAGGCTTATAAGAGACGCAGTGATCTGTGTCTGCTGCCAGTGGTCTGACTGACTCTCCCTAGAGCTCCGGGTGCGGGATTCAGAGTGTCCCGTGCTGTGTGTCTGTACAGCGCCGGGCACAGGGCGCTGGGGTCCTCCTGACACTTTTGGACCCCTGGGAGGAATGAACAGCTCCCTGCAGTGACTGTGTTTCCTCACTCAGAAACTGAGGGCCTATTGTAAGCTGATATTGGGGTTGTGGGGGACTCAGCTCTGGAGCCCCGTTCACGCACACAAGGGCCATGCAACGTCCGGTCAGGGGGTCAGTGTCTGGCGGGAGTGGTGGGGGGCGCAGGGTCTGTCCCACCGACTTCTTGGGCTGGACCACCCACTAGAGAGGGAAAATTTCCCATCAAGCTGGGAGGGTTTTGGGAGGGAAACCCCTTTCCCTTCCCAGCAGCCACCGGCTACAGTGAAATGTTCCATGATAGTAGGAAGGTGATCTGAGCAGGTCTGGGGGCCTGCCTGTGGGTGCGGGTGGGAGAAGCTGGGGGGGCGTCTGAGGACAGAGTTAAGGTTTTGTAGTGGAGCCTCCCTGACATTAGTGGGTCGAGAGCAGTGTGTCTTGGAGTTTTTCTTTACGGGAGAGTCGAGGGAGGATTCAGGCCACAGTGAAGGGAGATTATGATCCACGGCTGATATTTATATTCGTGTTTACATTCCTGTTCCCAGTCACACTCCACTTCCCATTTACTCTTGGATTGTAAACTCAGTGGGACTGAGAGAGGTTTTATGGTCTGTGTTTGTACCATATGGGACTATGGGATCCTAGACTGTAATTAAGAACATAAGAACGGCCAGCCTGGGTCAGACCAAGGGTCCATCTCGCCCAGTCTCCTGTCTTCCGACACTGGCCAACCCCAGATGCTGCAGAGGGAATGAACAGAACAGGGAATCAGGGAGTGATCCATCCCCTGTCACCTATTCCGGCTTCTGGAGACCCTGGGCACTGGGACCACAACCAGCACCAAATCTGTCACCGCTGAGCATCATCCTCAAGATCATTTACTTAGTTAATTATTAATAAGCAATAAAGTGTAGATAGAAGCTTTCTCCTGGTTGTGCTTAAAGAACTTGTGTGATATGAACTCTACGTGTTTTTAAACCATCCCCACGATCTAATATTGGGGGATAACAACAAAAACAACAACACAAATATTTCTATTCAGACACTATAACCATTGACGCTGAAACACGTATCTCATTTCCCATTCCCACTGTCACGCATGTTCCCTTTCATATAACCACACTTTGGGGGGGGGGGGGGGGGGGGAATGTGCTAAGGGAATGTCCGATAGACAGTTACACTGAATGAGACTCAGACCATAAGGGTGGGTGGCTGGCTGGCTCCATAACGCGCCATGGCCCTAGGCTCTCAGACTGGCTGGAGACCAGCTCATTGATGAGGCTAATAGAAGTGAGACCATGTACAGGGCAGGGAGTCAAATAAATCTATAAACAGACACTACCCAGCTCTATGGCATCGGCCAGCAGGGATTTGGGGAACAGCCTTGTTCCCTTTTATAGCTGCCAGGGTTTGTGTTTTCACCTCTCCTGCTTTCTATCCTCACACGGGAACTGAGAGGTGAACATGGGACTATTTGGGCTTCTGTTTGGGAGATAATAATTCCTTTGAACCCACATCAGTGTCTGCAATAGAATATCTGGGACCGAGTGAATCCCCACCACGCCCAGTGCCGGACACCCGGTTCCCGGTATCTCCGCCTCCTGTGGATCTAGATCTGACTGTACAGCCGGGTTCGTTTCCCGCATTTCAAACGGAGGAAATTACTGTCTCCTGTGAGCTCCCAGCGCCCGGCCTGTCAGCATGAAACCAGCTGGGGTTTTCTCTGGGAACCGCCACAGGAGGTTTTTGTCTGAGCTCAGACCGGCTTCCCCTCACTGTGCAGGGGGGGGGGGGGTTTCTGGCACAGCGATAGCGGGCGGTGTCCTCGGGCTTCAGGCCGGTCAGCTGCAGACACAGCAGGTTGCTGGGATTGTCCCTGGAGGTGGTGAGTCGCCCTGTGGCTGGTCACCGTAGCGTCTGTGCTGCTCCCACTGCCCCTGCTGATCGGGGGACCCCTCCAGCCCTTCCCGGGGACCTGAGGGACCCAGTGCACCCAGTCTCCAGGGGTAGCCCTGTTACTCTGTATCCACAAAAACAACCAGGAGTCCTGGGGCACCTTAAAGACCAACAGATTTATTAGGGCATAAACATTCGTGGGTCAAAAACCACTTCTTCAGATGCACCAGTGCATCCAGTAGGCGGTGAACGTGAACCCGGAGGCTTTGCAGGAGGGGCGGAGAGAGTCTCCGGGCTTTTCACATCCTCCCTGGACTCCACCAACCCCTGGGACCGGGCACCTGGGAATAAAGACGCGTTAAGGGGAGTATCTCGGGTAATAGCACAATAATCCCCCGCCTGCCCAGCACATGGAAAGGGAGAAAATACCTTCCAGAGCTGCTGCAATGAGAACGAGATGTAACCAAACCTCGTTGTCCCTGGTGTTGGCAGGGAAAGTCCTCAGGGGGGTTGGCTGGCACAGAACCAGGGGGCTGCAGATTGTCGCTCTGGATACAGCCCGGGCAGGAGAGAGACAGATATAAACAGGAAACTCTGACTGTCATTTGTATATCCCCCTCTTTATAAGAGACACCCTGTATTTCCTAGCGCGAACTTAGAGTGGGAGGATTGAGAGAGAAGGGCTGGGATGACCATTCTCACAGCAGGGCTCCGAGCATGATTGCATTTGAGATTCCTAGCTGAATTTATGTAGGTCAAATTCACATTTTCTGTATCCCCTTCCCTAACTCCCAGACCAAGTCCTAACCCTCAGGTAAATTCGAACCCTCACCTGGACACTTATTGTGACGTTATCTGATTAGAATATGACCATATGGATCATTGTTGCAACCACTGTTATATATTGCAGCAAATACTGTACAAAGGGTGTCGAATGAGGTATCTATGAAAAGGTTATAATTTGATGATTATAATTATGCTGTCTATATATATGTATCATTTTTGTATGTGAAGTTATAAGTATTGGAATATCCACCTGCTTTATGGGGATTGGCTGCCCCTTTCTTTGCAGTTCACCCTAATTGAGTGACCATCGCTATCCCCCACTGGGACACCGGTCACAGCCAGATATGCCATGTAAGATATCTGCAAAAATGTTAGAATTTGCCAGATATGATAATCTTGTTTATATGTTTGTATCACCTTGGTATTATGAGTTATAGCTATGTCTGTATGTCTGTATTTCAAACTTGTGCTATGCTTCTGGGGGACACCCCGGACAGGTTGGCATCAGCACTGCCTAGCCTGCTTGATCGCCTATTTAGGACCATCAGCGACACAACTGACCCATCGCTCCTTAGAACGCTTCCATGGAGTCACCGCTGGAACCGGAGTAGCTGAGGCTTTGTCGACACTTGCAGATGTTTCCAGCACTAGGAGTCAGAGCGCCCCTCAGACAGCGCTGCAGGGAAAGCGCTCTTGTGTGTTCACACAGCCAGCTGCCCAGGAGCTCTGCATTCGGAGCGGTGCATTCTGGGCAGCTATCCCACAGAGCACTTCTTCCTCTTCCGCCGCTGAGGCTTGTGGGAAGGTGGAGAGGGGGTCGTGGGGCATCCTGGGTCCTGTGACAATGACCCATCATGCATCGCTTTGCATCCCAGCAGCCCCTTTACAATTTCCCAAGGTAAGTTTTAGGGTATGTCTACACTGGCAGAGTTTTCCCGCTGTCACTTTCACCGGGGATAGGGAAGCGCTGGTTTGTGATTCACTCAATTCCTCAGGCGTCAGAGAGTGTTTACACTACCAGCACTTCCATCGGCGATGAGAGCAGCGCTGTAGGGCAGCTATCCCACAGTGCAGCTCTCTCGATAGGACTTGTGGGAAGGTGGGGGTGAGCGTAAGGCATTCTGGGTCCCTGCTCAGTGCCCCGTGCTGCCCTGCTTCATGTCCCAGCAGCCCCATTACTTCCTTGTTTCTTTCATGGAATTTTTTAATAACCCCTGCTGTCTGGCTGCTTTCCCTGCCATAGCTACAAGCAAAGGGAAAGGGAGTTTCAAACTTCCCGGGGCTCACAGAGGGAGGGGCGGACGTCCCTTTACCTGACATCAGAGCAGCGGAGATGCTGGCCAGAGTGGTCACTTTTGGAACTGTGGGATATCCTCTGGAGGCCAAAAGGCATTTATACCAGCAGAACGTGTCTTCACTTTCACAGCAGCGCAAAAAGAACACTGGAAAGAGCTGTAGGCCTCTTGTGAAGGTGGCTTTCTTTTTGCAGTGAAACTTCTGAGTTTCACCTCAAAAAGTCATTAACAAGTGTAGACGCTCCCATGGTTTTAGCGCAAAAAAGGGACATTTTGCACTTTAAATGGCAAGTGTAGACATAGCCTTAGTCTCCTTTAAAGTCACAGGATGTAACCCCGGTTGCAAGGCCTGCAGGTATAATTCCAACCCAATCTTAAAAGAGAGCATAAATGTTCAAACTTCTCTTCTCCCGGTAATTTCCAGCCAAATAGTCTTCTCTCACACAACATGAGCCAAAGCCCACTAAAGACAAGGGAAATATTTCCCTTCACCACAGATGATTTAAAAGCAATCCCTAAAAATGAATGGCTAGCTAAGTGAGGTCATTAAGGGAAGGGGTTTGTATGTCTTATAAAGAGGGGAATATGCAAATTGTGGTGGCAAGTTCCTGTTTAAAGCTGTTCCTCTCCTCTCCTCTGGCTGCACCCTGAGAGACGATCCCCAGCCCTCTGAGTCGGTGCAGTTACCAGCCAACTCTCCCCTCCAACAACAGGGAAAATGAGACTTTGGGTCTCTTTAGTTTACATTGTGGCAGCTCTTCAAGGTATTTTCTAACCCAAACATGCTGGAGAGGCAGCGATTATTTCGTATTTTCTGTTTCGATACTAATGTTTGTATCGTGTCTTTATTCCCAGGTGCCTGGTCCCAGATCAATTTGGTGGAGTCTGGAGGGGATGTGAAAAAGCTGGGGGAGTCTCTCCGCCTCTCCTGCAAAACCTCCGGTTTCAGTTTCAGCAACTACGGCATGATCTGGGTCTGTCAGCCTCCTGGGAAGGGACTAGAATGGGTGGCTTATCTAAACAGCGCTGGGGGCGATATACACTCTCTTGATTCAGTGAAAGGCCGGTCCTGAGTGGGAAGAAGCCCAGTGTGATGCTGGCAGACCAGGTGCCAGCTAGGCCTTACAAGTGCATAGCTGGAAACCAGTCTTCTTTACCTGTGTTAGCATCATCAAAATAGATGTTAGATTCTAAGTTCATAAGAATATGTTTAGTATTTAGACTTCATAAAATGCTTGTAGGATGTTGCCTGCACTGTTTTCACTTATCTGTACCCTGGTATAACTGAACAACAAACATTTACATTGTATACCCCTGTATCTCAGGCCCCGTCTACGCTGGCAGGTTTGTGAGCAGTAAAGCGGCTCTGAGTGCTGTAACTCCCGAGGTGTACACGCTGCCAAGCCACTTAGTGTGCAGAAACTCTGCCGATGCAGGGCTCTAAAAAGCCATCCCGACGAGAGGCGTACAGCTTTCTGCGCCGGGCTACAGCGTGGGGATTACAGTGCTGTGACTGGCCTCCGGGAGGTGTCCCACAATGCCTGTTCTCGCCTCTCTGGCCATCGGTTTGAGCTCTACTGCCCTGCCCTCAGGTGACCAACCGTCAGCCCCACCCCATACATTCCTTTGCAAATTTGAAAGTCCCCTTCCTGTTTGCTTGGTGATGCATGCAGGGGTCTCAGCGCATCTTTCCAGGTGGCCACGCCTGCTCCACGCACCAGGTGATCCCCCACTTGGGGCAATGCTGAGCTGCTGGACCTCATCTGCATTTGGGGAGAGGAGACTGTGCAGTCCCAGCTGCGCTCCAGCTGTAGGAATTATGCTACCTACGGACAGATTTCACGACGCATGACAGAAAGGGACCATGACCGGGACACACGGCAGTGCAGGGTCAAAGTGAAGGGGCTGCAGAACGCCTACCACGAGGCGCGGGAGGCAAACCGCCACTCCGGTGCTGCGCCCACGAGCTGCCAGTTCTACAAAGAGCTGGACGTGATACTCGGCGGCGACCCCACCTCCACTGCGAAGGCCACTGTGGATACTTCATTGGCTCACGTGCCAGTCGAGAGTGGACTGAGCCAGGAGTTGGAAATCTTGGATGAAGAGAGGGAAGAAGACAGAGGCAGAGGATAGCTCAGAGACCAGAGATGCATGGAGCCAGGACCTCTTCTCTACCCCAGAGGAGCCTAGCCAGCCACAGCAGGCGGATATTGGCAAAGCGCAGACAGGAGAGGAGGACCCTGGTAAGTGGATCTGATTTTGGAAATTGCCTAAGCAATTTGTTGGGGGCAGGAGGGTTGCAGAAAGCAGGCTTGTCTCCCACCGCCTGCCTAGTCTGAATGGTGGAACAGGCTGCAGATACACTCCCTCACTTCACGGGAATCTCCCTCACAGATCTCCAGGAAACTCTCATGGAGATACTGGGCTATCCACTGACGAAGGTTCCTCGGCAGAGCTGCTTTGTGTCTTGCCCCATTAACGGTAACTTTTCCGCACCACCTTGCCGTGACGAGGTGATGGTGGTGGGGAGCATTGCTGCACACAGGCGAGCCGCATAGGGCCAGGGGAGAAGCTGCACGCTTGGAGAAGACCCTCCCTTGGTTCCCTGCTCACCCTCAGCAGTGAGATATCTTCCATAATGATCACCTCCTGTGGAAAGTGTGGGGACAGGAATGATTATCAGGCCCCCCCTACAGTGCTGCCTCCAAGTGCCCAAGAGCCACGTGCCCAGTGTACAGCAGGGTCCGGGAATGGTGATTTACCCTGCCCCTGTGGCTACTCACCATTTTGGGGGTCTTGTGGCTCATGTGTGCTTGCCTGGGGTCAGCCAGTTTGTGACAGGTGTGTGAGTACTGGCTGTGTTTTAAAGCACTGAATCAGTGTTGTCTGTGTTGCAAACAATACTGCTTCTGTAAAATGTTGCATTTAAACTTCACAGAGGTGACCATGGGAGGCCAGCCTCCCTCTGTGTTATCGGCGGCAGAATGGTTGCGAAGAATTAGGAAGCATCCAAGAAGAACTAAGGAGGACTTTATGCATGAGGTTATGATTCACTCCACTGCTGAGAAAAAGGAATTGAAGGAGTGGTGGGACAGCAAGAAGAGGTACCGAAAGGAGAACGTAGCACACCAGAAAGTTGTCACGGAGCGGCTCTTAACAGTTATGGAGCTCCAAGTGGACACGCTCCAGGAGATACTAGCTCCGCATCCGCCCTTCCCTGCAGCCACTGTCGCAAAACTCTTTCCCATGCACACCCCCGACACACACACACACCCCGCCAACACACTGTTATCAACCTCCTGGCTCCACTCTCTACCCGCAGCTTTCCACTCCTCCCTCCTCACGGTCCAGCACTGTGGACTCCCCATACCCACTGCACTCAACAGCCATCCCTCTGCAGTTTGGCCCTGCTGAAGTACAGCTGCATCGTACTCCAAAGGAGATGGTTGGGTATGATCCCTGGACATACACAAATCTCTAGCTGTCCCGGGACCCCTCCTGCTCTTGAGACCTTCCCTTCCCTGCTGATGATTTTTTTTATTTGACTCTTTCCTCTGGTTGTTGTCTTTCAATAAAAGAATTGTGTTTGTTTGAAAGCAATCGTTATTCTATTAAGTGAAAGCAAAAAGAGCACTCCAAAGCAACATACAATTTTATGTTTAGGCCCTTTCTTGCATCATGTGAACCAATCGCCTCCTAGCATTACAAGCACTGCAATCCTGAGCATATCAACAAATATTAGTGGCTTTCAGCTTCAGATTGCTGCCTCAAAGCATCCCTGATCCTTATGGCCCCACGCTGCGCCCCTCTAATAGCCCTGGTCTCTGGCTGTTCAAACTCAGTCTCCAGGCACTGAGCCTCTGTGGTCCAGCCCTGAGTGAAGCTTTCACCCTTCCCTTCACAAATATTATGGAGCATACAGCATGCGGCTATAAACATAGGAATATTGTCATCGGCCATGTCCAGCCTCCCAATCAGGCATCAACAGTGAGCTTTTAAAAAGCCAAATGCACACTCCACAGTCATTCTGCACTTGCTCAGCCTGTTGTTGAACTGCTCCGTGGTGCTGTCAAGTTGCCCTGTGTATGGCTTGAGCCATGGCATTAAGGGGAAGGCAGAGTCTCCCAGGATCACAATGGGCATTTCAACTTCCCATACAGTGATCTTCTGGTCTGGGAAGAAAGGACCGACTTGCAGCTTCCTGAACAGGCCAGTGTTCCGAAAGATGCGTGTGTCATGCACCTTTCCGGACCAGCCTGCGTTAATGTCTGTGAAATGCCCACAGTGATAAAAAAGCACCGGGGAACCATTGAGAAATACCCCTTGTGATTAATGTACTCGGAGGCTAGGAGGTCTGGTGCCAGAATTGGAATGTGCGTGCCATCTATTGCCCCTCCACAGTTAGGGAAGCCCATTTGTGCAAAGCCAGCCACAATGTTACGCACGTTCCCCAGAGTCACGGTCTCTCAGAGCAGGATGCGATTAATGGCCAGCGGTCAACTTTCCCACTCCGAACTGGTTAGCAACCAATCGGTAGCAGTCTGGAGTAGCCAGCTTCCACAGTGCAATCACCACGCGCTTCTCCAATGACAGGGCAGCTCTCATTCTCGTGTCCTGGCACTGCAGGGGTGGGGCGAGCTTATCACACAGTCCCATGAATGTGGCTTTCCGCATGGGAAAGTTCTCCAGCCATTGTTCGTCATCCCAGACGTGCATCGCGCTGTGATCCCACCACTCAGTGCTTGTTTCGCAAGCACAAAAGTGGCGTTCCATTGTGGTCAGCACCTCCGTGAATGCCATAAGCAATCTCATCTCATAGCTAGTATGTGTGGCGAGATCAATGTCAAACTCCTCTTGCCTTTTTAGTTTAAGGAATAACTCCACTGCCACTCGTGATGTGCTGGTCAGTGCGAGCAGCATTCTGGTCAACAGCTCGGGATCCATTCCTGCAGCCAGAAAGAGGCGGGTCATGGAATACACAAACCATTGAAAGATGGTTCCACATGCGGATGGAAACACAGGGAAACACAGGGATGCTGGGATGCGAAGCGATGCATCATGGGGCATTGGGACAGGATCCAGGATGCCCTGCGACCCCTTCTGCCTTCCCACAAGCCCTAGCAGCAAAAGAGAAAGAGGAGCTCTGTGGATAGCTGCCCAAAGTGTGCCGCTCTGAATAGAGCTGCAAGAGCAGCAAGTGTGAACACGTTATTGGGCAGGCAGCTGCCAGTGTGAACACGCAGTGGCGGTTTTCCTTCTGCGCTCTCTGAGTGGCACTGTAACTTTGCAAATGTAGACGTGCCCTTTAAGTAACCCTTCAAACGCGAAGGAAGCCTTCTGTATGAAGTTGTTTATTCCTGTTCATTAACCACAATCGAGCCATTGTGAGATCGAGGATCAAACACTTTGCTAAATGCATTCCTCCCTCCCCCACACCCAACTACTTGTAAACCAGTTTACAAGAACTTTTGAATTAAACCTCGGCCCACCCAAAAGTCAAAACTTTGGAGGCTGAGACTAGCAATTTGTCTCTTCTTGCTGCAGGAAGTTCAGGGGGAAAACCCCGGATTCCTAGACTCCTGCTGTAACAGGATGGCTAGTCTTGCCTCCCGTAGCCGGGAAGAAATAGAACCTAGGCGTTCTGGTAACGTGATGACAAAGCCTGTTGTTGGCTGACTGGAAAATGTATTCAGAACAAACAGCCTTCAAGGTGCTCAGACTTCCGGGAAGGGGCTGCAGTGTGTCGCTGCCGTGACTTCTGATGGGGGTGCTGTGTGTATTACACCGATTGGGCTAAGGGGTGATGCACCATCTCCAGGGACAATCCCAACCATCTGATGTATTTACAAACGAGCAACCTGAGAGACCGGAGGACACCACCCCGTATTAGTGAGTAACAGATACTGGGTGAGGAAAGACTCATAGACTTTAGGGCCAACAGGAACCATCCTGATTATCTAGTCTAGCCAGAGAACCGCACCGACCCCCTCCTGTAACAGACCCCTGACCTCTGGTTGAGTTACTGAAGTCCTCAAATCATGGTTTAAAGACTGTCTGAGCTCAGACAAAAACCTTTGTCTCCCTCAAGGTCTATTTAACCTACAATAAGCTTAACTGGGAGAAAAGAGACAACTCCAGGAACCCATGGATTTTATTTCATCTCATTCCTTTCAATTCATGGAATACTGAAACCCAGTGATTAGCTATAAATCCTCACAGACAGATAATACTTTTATAAAAGGGACCTTCTCTTCCCTCTCCATTCACCTTCTCCTAACACACTGACTGTGCTTCCCCAAGGAGCCCCAGATGTTTCATCTCAGCTTAGTAGCCTATCCAAGGAACTACCCTGTCCCTTTTGCACTTACGGATAGAATTACTGAGAGTTTGTTCAAGCAGAGGCACAAGATTCAAACATCGCTTAGCACTGGTGGAGATGCCCAGACCCCTAGTCCTGTAGAAATCAACACAAATAGGGCTGCATAAAGCTGTTAGAAAGCAAAAATTTTCTGATATCTGCCTGCATCTCAACACCTGTTCACTCCCATGCCGCAGACACCTTATCCCTACCCCCATGTCCTCCCACTGATATTCCCACCTCATAGAGACACCCACAGCAGGGCTTATTCCCCTGCCCTCCATATCTACCCCCTAGTTTTCCCCCTTAACTACTTTCACCCGCACAGACCCCCCTCTCCCCCCAATCAGCAGAGCCTGCATCTCTCCTCTCTTTAGATCATAGATATTAGCTGATAGCGGTAGCTTTCTGGACATGCCTCTAAACTGGTGCCTAGGGATTTGGGATCATTCAAGGCAGGTGTAGATTTGTCCCTGAAGGAAAAGTATAACGAGGATCCCACCACAGTGTGCTTGGTGCTATACAGACATTGGGAAAGCTGCAGCCTGGTTCCCCTCTCTCAGCCCTTGTGCAAGTGATTCGGATCCATAATGGAAGAAGTGTGATTCTTTTATAAGGAGGGGAATATGCAAATTGGGGTGAGAGTTTCCTGTTTAAATCTCTCTCTCTGCCCAGGCTGAACCCGGAGAGACAATATGCAGCCCCCTGGTGTGGGAGGCAGCGGGTGGCGAGAGAGGAAAGGATGGTGGCCAAACTTTGCTGGCGGTGACCTGGGGGCACCAGGGAAAGAGTTTTGGGGCACCGGCTGCAGGGGAGGCCGGGCGCGGAGCTGCTCCATATGCGATGCTAGGTGCATCTGGATCGATTCTGCTTGGCGCAACATAATCTTTAGGAGCTGCTCCATGGCTTCTTTCCAGTGCTCCGCGCTCTCCTTCCGTTCCCTCCTTGCGATGTCCTGCCACGCCTGAGTTTTTTGATTCTCAGCAGTGGCCTGCTAGCTGCTGTATAACTTCATGGAGCAGGTCCTCTTTACTTTTTCAGGCCGCCTGCACAGCCATTCAGCTGCGGATAATAAGGACGACTGGGTTCCCAAGGTTACATCTGTGAAGCCAAAATGCAACATTTCACACAGGCACCATTGTTAACACTCGACAGAGCACTGAGATGGCCGATCTTAAACACAAGCACAATTCACATATCTATCACAACTGGCTGTCCCAAGGCCAGTGCACATAAGCCACAAGACCCCCCAGAAATGGAGAGTAACCACACGGGGCAGGGGAACGCATTGTTCCAGGGCCGCATTGTACTCAGGGACTTAACGCTATCCACATATGTTCCACAGGTGTGTTCAGCACTGAAGATGTCTCCTGCTGAGGGTGAACAGGGAAGCAAGGGAGGGTCTTCTGCAAGACTGCGGCTTCCACCCTGGCCCTTATGCGGCTTGTCTGTGTGCAGCAATGGTCCCTCCCTCGATGGCACAGTCGCGTGGGAATGTTACCCTTACTGGGACAAGGGACAAAGCGGCTCTGCCAAAGAATCTGCGGAAGTGGATTGCCCAGTATCTGCATGAGACTTTCAAGGAGATCTCTGAGGCCGATTACTGCGATGTGAGAGAATCCATCAACACCTTGTTCTGCTTCTAGGCACCGCAGACCCAAGCGTGCTTTCTGCAACCCTCCTCGCCCCACCAACCTGCCCCCAACAACTTGCTTCCCAAAATCAAAGCTGCTTACCAGGCACCTCCTCTGATCTTTGCACTTCCCCAAGCTCCAGCTGCTGTGACTGGCTATCCTCCGCTGGGGTACAAAATAGCTTCTGGCTGCATGCGTCTATGGACGTCGAGTCATCCTCTGGCTCTGGGCCCCCCTCCTCCTCAGCACCCTCACCCCTGATTTCCTCATGCTCCTGGCTCAGTGCACTCTAGGCTGGCACAGCACCCGAAGTGTCCATGGGGCTTTTCGTGGTGGAGGTGGGGTCACCCCCAAGTATCGTGTCCAGCTCATCGTAGAACCAGAAGGTCACGGGGGCAGTACCGGAGCGGCGGTTTGCCTCCTGTGCCTTGTGGTAGGCATTCTGCAGCTCCTTCACTTTAACCCTGCATGCAGTGCATCCCGGTCATGGCCCCTTTCGGTCATGGCCCTTGATATCTGCCAGTACGTATCATACTTCCTGGAACGCAGCTCGGACTGGACAGCTTCCTCCCGCAAAATGCTGATGAGGTCAAGTACC